AACAACAACAACAAACAACAACAACAACCACAACCACAACCACAACCACAACCACAACCAACAACAACAACAACAACAACAACAACAACAACAACAACAACAACAACAACAACAACAACAGCAACAGCAGCAGCAGCAGCAGCAGCAACAACAGCAACAGCAACAGCAACAGCAACAGCAACAGCAGCAGCAACAGCAACAGCAACAGCAACAGCAACAGCAACAGCAGCACCAGCAGCAGCAGCAACAAGCGAAGGAATCAACGAACAAACAAATAGACAAACAAACCAGCAAACAAAACAACCACAACCACAACCACAACCACAACCACCACCACCACCACCACGACAACGACGACAAAAAGCAACAACACAAAAATGACATTCATGACGACGACGACCACCACCACAACCACAGCCACAGCAACGAGAACGATGACAAGGATGACAATGCTGACAACCATCAGGACGACAAAGCCTGCGACAACGACAACAGCAATGACAGTGTTTGTGTATATTTGATACGTGCGCTTGCATAGTGGCACATGCTGCCTCCTGAAGCAAATACCTCGCATCAAGGGACAAGACCCTGACAGCTTGCTGAGTGTCCTGCGCGAATCGCCCATCTTCCGGTAGCATAGCAAGAACGCTCCAAATAGGGAGAGAACAACCTAGAATGGTCACTCAGGCATTCATGCAATATCTGACAGCCTGGTGCAAAACTTTTCGACTTGTTCAAGTCATCTTTGTCTGCGACGTTGCATGCTCAATGAGGTTCAGCCCTTGAACAGTGAATACAGGTGCTTCTTCTGACCCCTTAGGGTGCTCCCCTCTAACGACATTCAAGCAGCCGCAAAAGAAATCAAAAACCACGCATATCCAGGAAGACCTTCGCCGTGTGCGGCGGACGCCTTGAGACCGCTGGCGCTATTGACATCCAAGATCGCCTCATGGCAAAGGCGACGCAACGTCAAGTAGTATGGCATGTTTGCCTTCCTTTGCATTCTCCGGCAAAACGTTCAAATAGGCTTTCACAACCAGTCACCTCACTCCACTTGCTACACATAACAAAAACAAACATACGTACACATACAACTTACAACCACAAACCAAACGGAAGTGTCATTTTGTTGAGGGAATTGAGGGGTGACCCCTTCCAAATGGCCTCTGCCGGTTTCTGCACCTCCGTGTGTTCCGCAGCCGCCTTCTCCTTCAACAGCTCATTGATTGGGCCTCATCTGAAAGCTTAAGCGAGGTACCGTCTGAATTTCTCTGTCACGGACAGACTTGGGCCGTCCAGGCGGCCACCCCGTTTCCCGCCCCCCGTTTCCTTTTGCATCGAGAGAGTCAGCGAGCAGTTTGGGTGAAACGGGCCGGAACCCAAATTCATTCGAGCGTCAGCTCAACTCCAGCTCATCCGGCGGCGCCTGCCAAGCCGCGCCCATTGCCTTTCGGCAGTAGCCGGGCTCGGAGATCAGCTGTACCGGGCTGGGCTTGTGGGTGTCCGAGCGCTCCCGATGCCGGCCGATGCGGCGCCCGTGCAGCGCCAGGGACTCGGCGTCCAGCTTGTCATACTCCTCCGCCCCCATGATGCGGGCGGTGATGGGCACGCGGATGACGTGAGCCTTGGTCTGGATCTCCACCAGCTGCTCGATGCGGTGAGGCTCCATGGCCAAGACCTCCACCGCCAGCCGCGTTGCCATGCCTGGGGCAAGGTGCCCTGGTTGCCAGTGCACCCGGACCAGTTCGCTCTCCGGCGGCTTCACATTGAACCTGGTGACGTCCACCTCCAAATTCCGGACGTAGAAATGCATTCGGTACAGAGAGCCCTGGCGCAAGGGGCCGAAGCGACACGCTCCGGGCATGACCTCCACCAGCATGTGGTTGTCCCCGAGGCCCTTCACCTCCGAGCGCTTGTGCGCCAGCGCGCTGGTCTTCACCTTCCTCCCGGTGGGGCCCTCCACCTCCAGGTAGTCGGCGTTCATGCCAACGTAGGCCTGCGAGATCTTGCCCTTGGGACCCCGCGGCTCCCCGTAGACGTCCCACATGGCGGCCTTCTTGTCCGGGTGAGGGCCAACCGGCGCTTCGTCTTGGACAGGAGCGATCGGCAGCCTTTCACCCGGCTGAAAGTACATCCGTTCAGCGCCATCTTCGGGCAGAGCACCAAACTCCGGCGCGTTGAAATCGGCGCGAAGAAGCTTGGACTGTCCAGGCCACTCATCCTCATAGTGCTCTGGGCTTGCTTCTTCCTCCGGTTCATCTGCCGCTTCGCCGACCAATCTTGGATGCCAAGGGCTCTTCTGTGGCGGCGGCGGCGGATCTCGCGGCCGCTTCTGCTTCACCACCGGATTCGGCGTCAAGTCCGGATCCAGCATTCCTGTGTCCATCAGGAACTGAAGACCTGTTTCAGACTTGAAGTAGGAGAAGGACCACTCCGCCTCTGCCACAAACATGCGCTTGCCTGTCTTGGCCTTGGGGGCCACGTTCTCCTGGTCCATGCTGGGATCCTGTGGAACCTCCTCATTGACCGGCGGCTCCTCGGCCAAGGCCTCAGCCTGGTGGCCATCTTCCTCACCCTCCGCCTGAGTTTCGGTGCTCACCGCCAGCATGGCCAGGGCTTGACTCAGCAGCTCCTGGCTGCCGGGCGGCTGCTGCTCGGCCAAGCGGCTCTGCAGCGCCTTGACGTGATGCTCAAAGGCATCCAGGCGGAGGCCCTGCACAAATGCCGGCTCCGGGGGAAGCTCTTGCTGTGCTTCCTCCTCCTCCAGCTCATTCTTTCCCCGCTTGCCCTTCTTCCCCTTCTCTTTGCCCTTCTCTTTGCCCTTCTCCTTCTTGGCCTTCTTCACTTCAGGCGGCTTGGCCGCATTCCGCATCTTCGTGAGCTGCTCGATCTCCCAGGCCCGGTACTGTTTCAGCGTGCCCTGCAGCTTCACCTGATCCTCCTCCGACAGCGCGGGATACTCGAGCAGCTGCCGGAACTCCGTGATGGTGCCCGCTTGCGTGCTCCTAGCCTGCTGCGCCGCCTGCAGCATCGCGTGCTGCGACGCCTCGGAGATCACCGAGCAGATGCTGCTGCCGCCGTCCAGGCTGTCCGGCAAGGCCAGGGAGCCCATCTGCGGCACCGAGAGCGCGTCCGGCAGCCGGGTGTGAAAAATGGTGTGGCACTTAAACCGCGGACTCTCGGTGCCCAGCACCAGGGCCATGGGATCCTCCTGGGCCGCTCGCAGGATCTCGCCCGCCTGGGCAGAGCTCAGCAGCTCCTCGGCCTCCCCGTCCCCGTGCACCACGAAGAGCCGAGGCGCCGGCGGCGGCACCTCCCGCCCGTCGTCCGGGGCGTAGGCCCTATTGGCCTCGCTGCAGCGCGGGCTGGCGCCGGCGCCGGGCACCTCCAGCGACTGGTCCGCGTGCAGCACGAAGTCCCCGCCGCGCAAGACCAACCTGCCCTCGGCGCAGTGGGCAGTGCCCAGCGAAGCCGCCTGATGAAAGATCTGCACGGTGCCATCTCCCAGAGCTTTCACCATGCTCCCTTCGCGGCAGCTCAGCGTCACAGCAGCGTGCGTGGACTCCAGCGTATCCCCCGCCAGCGGCTTCAAGCTGCCATCCACCAAAGCCTGCGGCTGCACCTCGATGCAGGTGCCGTCAGCACATTCCACTTGCAATTGAACGGAGCCTTCACCGGGTGAGGTATCCAAAAACAGCTTATTGAGCATCAAAGGCAAACATACTTCAAGAAGTCAAGAAGCAACTTATGACACATCAGGAAGAACGAACTCCTCGGGCACCATGTTGCTGAACAAAGACAACATCAAGCAACACTCGTTGGGCATGGGCAGGGTCAGCTTGTCTTGGGTTTGTTCTTGGTGGGTTGGTTTAGGGTTTCTTGGCGCGTTTAGGGTGGATAGGGCTAGGATAGGTTTGGGGCTTCCTTCCTGCCTTTCTTCCTTCCTTGCTTGCTTGCTTGCTTCCTTCCTTCCTTCCTTCCCTCCCTCCCTCCTTCCTTCCTGGCAGTGGCTTTGGAAATTCGCTAGCAGGAATCACCAGCAGGAATCCTAACCTCACATTTTGGAGCTACCTAACCCGCCTTCACCAGCAGGAATCTCGCACCTCACCAAAGCCATGCCCTCTTTGAAGATTTCCGTCTCCGTTCCAAACTCCTTCACGGTGCTGGTGATGCGGGTACCATCGGGGTATACGCAAACTTTCTGCACGCCTTCAGGGTCTTCAAAGGAGGCAAAGCCACGGGAATTCGTGAGCGCCCTATGCTGTGTGAAGAGATCCACTTGGAGTGCTGTGGCCACGCTGTCCACCTCATGCTCTCCATCCTCATCGCGGCGAAAGACATGCCCATCGCTGCGAATGATGACCCACTGCCCAGGGCAAAACCTGGGCTCGTCAGCTGCAGCATCTTTGTAAGCCTGCAACATCTTGGTCAGCAACTCGCGCTTGGCGGCATCATCACAGCAGCCTTGCTGGCTGCGGCAGGGCGACTCCTCCAGCCTCGTTTGCAGCTCCTCGGCCGTCGGACTCCGGCACGCCGAGGTCCCATCGGCGTGCAAAACCTCGATTCGGCCAGACACCAGGGTTCGGATCACGGCTTGGCCGGTGATGGTGCGTGACACCTCCCCATCTTCTGCACAACCGGGAAGCGGAGCGCCGGCCTCATTCTCGGGTTTGCTGGTGCTGTCTGGGATCAGCCGGATGGAGCCATTGCTCAACATCTGAATCACCTGTGGGGTTCTAGAAAAAGGGGGTGAAGAAGTCTTCGAGGCTATCATGTTTTTACTCCTTATCGTCTTGCTCTTAGCCTAACTGTGTTCGAGTCCACGTGGTTCAGATCATTTTGCTTCTATGCACTTTGCCAGGGAAGTGGGGAAATGGTCAAGGTCTTCAAGTAGGCATTTGTCTCACTTGTTCTTCTTGTTGTTGACATCATGTGTATCGATTTTAGACCGTGCACCCAGCAAAACTCAAGGAATCCTGTCTCCGGAATATGTCTGCCTCCAGATGCTCAGGTCCAGTGTTAGGGTTGTCTTCTTTTAACCCTTTCAGGCAATTTGTGCATGTTTGTTGAAAAAGGACCGGCCCAATACTCAAGTAGCACCGCCACGGGAATTTTCAACAGAACCCGTACCTGGCCATCTGTAGTGGTGTAGCTCAGCAGCGAGCCCGTGGACGAGTCGTCTGGCTTTGCAGGCATGTTTCGCGCAGTGACCCTCGCACCGCTGGGCAGCGCCAGCCAAAAGACGCCACCTGGCGGGCCTTCCGGCACAGACTCAGGCTCTGGCGCCACTTCTGAAGGCTCTGGAGCCTCATCTGGCACCTCCTGGGACTCCTTAGGCTCTCTTGGCTCCCGCCTCTCGACGATGCCGAAGGTAAGGCGATCTTTCAGAACACGTGCCAGGCGCCTGGATGATCTTGGACATCGGGTTTCGCCCGGCAACACGCCTGATTCCATGGACGTCACCAGGATCAGGCTTCCATCAGCCACCGCCAGCTTTTCCACCATGGTGTTGTAGCCCATCTCCCTGGCATCCATGTTCTCGATGAGTTGCACATTGGCCGGCGCCCCGCCGCCATGCACCTTCCAGTCGTTGAAGGTGGGGCTTGTGACCAGCGCGGACTTCCACTTCGGGTCTTGGGGCGCCGTGAGGTTGTCTCCATGCCAGGCGTGCCACAGCACTTGGCCGGGGACTGACCTGTGGTGTAGGGCCAGTAGCAGGCAGTCGTGGCGCGAGGAGTAGGCGCAATCCACAAAGGGCTCCCGCTGAAGGGCGGCCTGCAACACCTGGCCCAGGAGGCTCTTGGGAATGCTTTCCCGCCAGCTGCGGTCAGCAAACGACCACGGCCGCTGCTGAGCGTGCGAAACCAGCTCCTCAAAGGACTGCAGCAGGAGCATCTGCTCCAACTCTTCGGGCGCGACGCCCGGAGCGAAGGGATAGAACCGATGCCTCAGCGCCTTCCTCTCCAGCTCCGAGAAGGCGAAGTCCGGAAGCCCGGAGCGTCCGCTGCCGGGCACCGAGATCTTGCCCAGCACCTCGTGCACCGCTGCGAGCGGGCGCCCATCCGCGCTCGGCCCGCGCCGGTGCCGGCACGCAGCTTGATCCAAGTGCTGCAGCAGCGGACCAGAGTCCGGCAGACCTGGCCGTGGGCCAAAAATGGGTAAACATGGAACCGGTTTGGACGAATTTTCGCCCCCCACCTGGCACTCCCTGCTCCTCGGCTTCAGCTTGCCGCACCTCGCTGCGCGCCAGCGGGCCTTCGCCCACCACGTCCTCGAAGGCCGAGGCGAGATGCTCCTCGAGGCTCCGCAGCGCCGCGGCGTCCTCCTTCTGCTGCGCCTCCCCACTGAGCGTCCGCTCCACCTGAGGCGTCAAAAATCCCGCGGTGTTGGGAAAGAAAACAAAAAGCGGCTTTTGGGGCCATTGCTTTGCTTTTTAAGTCCTTGTCAGTAAAAGCGGGTGCAGTGTTGGATGCGAGGGACCACCGAAAACTCAACTGAGATCGATGGGGATTTATGCAACCTCACCTGTTCTGTCAAGCAGTGCAGGAAGAGAGGAACATCATGGTACGCAGGATTCACCGCACTCATCATGCTGTGATAGAGCCGATCTTCGAAGATCCCAGTATCCTCGTCTGGCAGCTTCACCCGCTCAGCCTGCAACCAAGCCTGAAATTGCACTCGCGACGAGGCTTCTCGGGCGAGCACTTCCTGCATCGCAGCCATGACACGTTCCGAGGGGCTGCTTTCGTCCTCTGCGACGGCCAGGGCGTGACTCTCCGGCACAGTCACCACACTGCAGTTGGCGAGGTCGGAATTCGCGGGTGCACTCTGAATCGCCTCGTAAAAGAGTTGCGCTTGTTCTGGAGTGGGGCAGTCAACTTGAACGCTAGGATCAGTCTCATCCACCGTCTTTCCGGCAAAGTAGATGTTGCACCACAGATCCACCACCTCGTAGAGGCCTGCATCTGACATAGCATTGAGTTCCTCTGCGTCCGGCGCCTCAAGAAGGAACAGGACATCCACCTCCGGCGGTGCCTCTGCCTCCGGCGCGCCTTCATCTCGGTTCTCGCGGTCTCGGTTCTCGAACTTGGCAATGAGCTGGCGCCGCGCCTCGTTGGATTTCGCGCGGCGGCGCGCTGCGCGCTCCTTCGCCAGGCGCAGCTTCAAGCCTGCCCAAAGCGGCTGGTCCTGTAGGCCGTTGGCCTCGGTGCAGTAGGCATGCAGCTCCTCTCGCTCAAGCAGCACCACAGGCCCCGATGCATCGCCGAGCTGTTTCGCCTGGGTCAGCACCAAGTTGCAGGGCTCAAAGTCCTGCACGCCTGTCTCAGATGCCACCTTGAAGGAATGACCTGCAAGATGTCCCAGCACCAGGCTGAAGTCTGGCTCGGGGGGCGTTCCTATCTCTTGCAGAAGCTCCTCTGGGAGAACCACCTCATCCTCCACCTCTGGAAGCACTGCATCTTGCTTCTTGGGCGGCATGGCAAAGTCCTAAAATCGTCTACCCAAAACCAGTGAGCCACAGTCAGCATTCATCTCTTTCTCAACTGACATGGGTGCTTTGCCGAGCAACCTCCATTTCAGAACTTTGATGGGTGTACTCAACATCGTCCCCTTGACAGATACCTATAAGACCCTTTCTGGCTCCCGGCTGGCAGGTTCTTCCAGCAGGTTGGGCTCCGGGTTCCAGTGCCCTGTGGGCAGCACCTAAGGCCCAAGGGGGGCTCAATACAAGTCGCCTTGGGCGACTGAAACCCTGGTCACACTCCTTCTTTCTTTTCATGAAAAGAGCCGCGAAACCAGGCCCGCGGAAAAGCCAAGCCAAGGCCACTCCAGTGATGAAGCTGATGGGACCATCCATCGCGTCCACTGCCGCTTGCTGCTCTGCGGCCGGGTACAGTCGCCGGGCCAAAGCCTGCGCTTCACGTCTCACGAGCGCCCTCTGCTGTTCAGACGGAACCCTCAGGTAGCTCGTCTTTTGAGAGTGCCCCTTTTTCGGTTGAAAGCCAACCTGCAAGAAGAGTACTCTAAATGTTACGCGAGTTTTCGGGCTCGGTCTGCAGGAAATCAGGCCTTGGCCGCGTGCAAGGCGCCGTCGGCTCTTTGTTGGCCGCTCTGCCCAATGGACCTCAGAAGGTTGCCAATCCTCATCTCATAGCTTGTCCAGGGCGTCTGAAAAGACAAAATGACCATGGTGCCAGATTTCATCTACAAAAAACATACATTGGGCTTGGGCTTGGGTTCCAAGCCGAATACATGCATGCACCTCGCCTCACTGTTCTGCCGAGACACCCAAGAGACAAGGCCGCAGTGATGGTGCCAGACTTCAGCTGAGCTTCTTTGTCGAGGCCTGCTGCCTGCGTCCATCCCCATTCCGCGAAGCGATCCCACGCCGAAGCCCCCATTCCTCGCCTCGGCCGTCCGGGCAGCCTCCTTCGCTGCCTCAAAGGCGCAATCATCCAGCGGCTGGCCAGCCTGGGCTGACCCCAAATGGCTGTGGGTCAAAACCCTGTGCCCCCGGTGAACATCCCAATTCCCACTAAAATTGGGTGGTGCACCTACCCCAAAATGGTACCATTGGTTTTGACGCATGGCCAAAGCTGCCAAAGCTTGCCCAACTTATCAAACCCACCCCAGCAGACTCTCAATCGCCCATAGAGACAAATTGTCGAACACCCAGCCTTGTGGTAGACCTCAAAAGCTGCCTTGCCCGCATATTGCGCCTCAGCCGCCGTCATTTGAAGACATACAAAACACATGCGTCAGTGGTCAAACGTTTTGTTTCTTAGCGTTGGGGGACTTGGTGGCATCAAAGATGCATGAGGAATGATGTCTTTTCCAACCATTCCTGCCACGTGCACGGCCAAACTTGACTGGTGATTGACGAATGGGCCATTTTTGCCCATATGAGCAACCGAGCAAACCTCTTGCGTCGGCTGAAGGACACTGGTTGAGAGGTACCGTCATCCATGTCGTTCCTGAAGGCGTTCGTTGCTTTTGCAACTTGCATAGTGGCGCGCATGCGCTAAAGATGCAGCAGCAGCCGCAGCCGTAGCCGCAGTCAGCAGCAGCAGCAATGCTACAAGCAGTAGTGGTAGTAGTAGTAGTAGTAGTAGTAGCAGTAGTAGTAGTAGTAGTGGTGGTGGTGGTGGTGGTGGTGGTAGTAGTGGTGGTAGCAGTAGTACTAATAGTAGTAGAAGCAGTGGCAGTGGCAGTGGCAGTAGTAGTAGTAGTAGTAGTAGTAGTAGTAGTAGTAGTAGTAGTAGTAGTAGTAGTAGTAGTAGAAGCAGTAGTGGTAGTAGTGGTGGTGGTGGCAGCAGCAGCGGCAGGGGTGGTAGTACGGGTCCTGTCGCGCCGTGTGTTTTCGGCCAATTTTTGCTTTGTGGTGGCTTTGGAGGGGGAATTTGGAGCCATTTTGATGCTCGGTTTTGGCTCTTGTTACCTCCATTGAAACTCTCTCAAAAAGTTATCTGTACATCTGGCTTGACATTGCTCCCAAGCAATTGTTTTAGAGTTTTTGAAAAAGTCTTTTTGGATTTAAATTGAGGGTGATGTGTACGTTCGTGTTCACTGCGCCGACCACATGCAGCCCATGGGTTCAGGGGGAACACGTCATTCCCTGCCAGGCCTGTCGTTGAAGCACTTGCCCTGATTATCCTTCTTCGATTGCGCGGCTGGCGCGCACCTCCACTCATTTTTGAACATATTCGTTCCTTTTGGATCTGTCCTTTTGCGGAGCTCGATGAGTTTCATCAGGCGTGATATATGGGGGATGGTTTCAATCAAGCAGAAATTATTCTCTTGTTGCTGTAAAGTTGACTAGCACCATCGCAAATTTCCCTACGCCAGGCTCTGCCAATGGCAGCATCGAGCGCTTCGTGCAGGAGACTGCGTTGCTAGCTGCGAGGCCATCATCGGTTTTCGAGCCGGGCCCGGGGCCCCCCCAAACATACCCAGATCAAAATGAAGGCGCGTTGCTTTTCGAAGATCGGACGCCACCTGCTTTTTGCGCTTGATACCTGACAGGTGAACTCCAAGCTGCTGACTCTCGTGAAACACCCGCGAAAGTGCGTGCGCATATTTGCTGACGGCAATGTTGCATGGAACTCAGCGCCAAAGGCTGCAGGCATGAAAACAGAAGCAGTGTCGCATCAATTGCGAGTCTTTTGCAGGCCCACCCATCACGGTGCCGGAAAGATAAGCGGGCAAGCAGGAACGCAATGTATAGATAGGAGTTGGGGTGCTCTGAAGCCGTAGCTACCCCGCCGCCTGATCTTGATCAAAGAAGGCGGGGAGTCACGGCTCAATGAAGAAGCTGTGAAGTATGTGTACCAATGGATGTGGAGACAGCACATCATGCAGGCGGCGGGGGCCTTGACACCCTCCCAAGTCCTGCACGAGCTGCGAGACATCATGTGAAAGAAGATTGGGCAAAGTAGTTTTCGAGCTTCTCGTGTATGCTAGTTACTAGTTTCTAAAGATTGTTAAATACCTTGCCATCACCAGTATTTTGCAGCAACAGACATTGACTTCGCGCCACGGCGCAATGGGACCCGTGAACCTAGTAGTTAGATGAGGAGGAGAGGAGGAGGAGGAGGAGCAGGAGGAGTTGCAGTCGCATTAGCAGTAGTAGCAGTCGCTGTAGCGGTGGGACAATAACAATGCAAATAGCAACAGGACTTGTAGTACACAAGCGGCAATAGGAATTCCCAGAAGCGGAAGCAACATGTTCGTACAGGAGAGCACTCTTAAAAGATTCGCTCCCGCTCAGCACAACAGGGCACGTCACGGCCCTCCTTTACATAGCAGTTTTCGGCAGGTTTAGGTTGACGCTCATATGGACCCTTGAAGTCTTGAACGGCAGGTTTTCAGAAGGCTGACCCTCAAACTCAGAGAGTTGACCTCTCAATTGACCTCACGCTTCGTTCATGAGCTCTGACCTCACCTCCATGTTCAAACATGGCTTCATCTGGAGCTGCAAGCTGAGCTCACGTCTTCAAATCTGCCGCTCAGGGAGCTGCAGGACCAGCTACCCTTCTTGGGCTTTGAAAGAAACCAGAAGGAAACCGGCGATTTTCGTGGTCCTGACATAGCATTTGTGGGAGGGTACGTGGAAGATCAAGCTCCTCCTAAAGAGACCCTCTGTCAGGTGCCATGCAAGCGTGGGAGGGAGGCTATGCCCAAAAACATTGACCTCTTTAGTCTTTGGTTCCATTTGCCAAGGTGCCATGTTGCTTGCTTGTGAAAGAAACAAAATCTGCCACAGCCATTTCTGTCATTTTGGTCTCAAGAAAACCAAACCTGCCGCCATTTCTGAAAAAAAATGTTTGGACCTCGGGCCTGGTACTCCGGGGAGAGGCTCAGGGCGGCCGCCGCGCCCGCGCCCGCCGCTGCCGCAGCCTTGGCTTGCTCCGCCAGAGACCGGTGCTCCTGCGAACTCACCGAAACGAAATGTTGCTTGGTTTTTCGGTGTTCTTCTGCGTTTTCTCGAGTTTGTTTTACTTTTGTCCGGTTTTCATCGAGTTGTTGTTTCTCTGATTTTCTCGAGATGCTTCCTCTGTATTAGATCAAGTGCAGCTGACATGGCTGAACCATGGGAAAACTGGAAGCCCTAAGACCCTGTGAAACCACCATCAGATTAATGTGAACCAAGCAAACACAAACTCCCTTACACTTTGCTGGCCAAAACCTGGTCAAAACTACAAAGCTTGACATGGGACAAGTAGTGATTTCCCTGGCTTCTGTTCGGCAATTTGGTAAATCCCCCATGTCCCTCCCAGATGAACCGCAGACTACTTTTGTTTTCACCTTCACACATTCTGAAGTTGTCGGCCGCCTTGGCGGGCGCCCATTCACTCTACACTGCTGCTTTTCACCTGGCCTCTCGAAGGATTCGGCGCCGGAAACTTACCAGTGGACAGACCCCATCACATCTGCCGACTGCCAGCTAGTCGACACACATCCCACTCGCAACAAAGCTCTTGGCGTGCCATGTAGCAGTACGGTATGACAATCACCAACTGACCACCACACTGGGTATCCGCAACCTAGGCGCCTTAAGAACAATTCTCAGCGCCCCCGAGGACACCAGCAACGCAGACCCCGCCATGATGCAGCCTTGAGCTCCGGCCTGATTTCTTCAATGGCTGTTCAAAGCCGAAGAAAACGGCTCCCTCGAAAAGAAACACACGCAAACGAATGCCAGCAAACGAGAGGGAGGGGGGAAATCGCGTTCGAAACAACTACGCGGTTTGCTCTGCTTGTCAAAAGGCATAACCCGCCCACCAAACAAAGGGGAGCAGTTTGGCAGAAAATGCTTCACTTCAACTGCTTGCTCCTTTGCAGCTTCTTCGGCTGCGGTCTGAGCTGTGTTGCAGCTGCCACAAGCTGGCACGTAGTGCGGATAGTCCTGGGACAGGGAATTTGTTTTTTTTGACGAGTCGTCGAAACCTGTCGAAACCGGTTACCTGCATCAAAAGGAGGAAGTCATCCCAAACGTTGCC